CCTGTAGAGTAGGAGCCATGAAATGTGAATACCAATCTCATAGGATTGATATGATGATGAAATGAGGCCATGTACTTTTCAAACTGTAGATTATTATACAAATGTAAAGTACTGTTGCCACTGTGCCATTATTATTAGGCTTTAATGTTAGGTACTGCCTCAAGGATTTCTCTCTCCAGTTTTGACCTTCACTCTGAACCAAAACGGTGTTTGGGGTTTCTAAAACAAGCTCTATGGAGAGCTTACTAATAGCTCAGGTTAATGGGTGAATGAGCTGATGGCCTTCCTTTTATTCTAGTAGAGGGTCACATGGGGCTGCCATTGTTTGGCATGGAGAGTGCTGATCTGTGCTCCACTTTTGTATTAAAGGTCTCCATCTCCAAGCTGAGATAGCTAGCCTTTGAGCACTGTTGTTGAGCCTTGAATAAGTGGCTTATTTACTTTGACCTATGGGCAAATGTCCAAATATATGTACATTCGTGAGCTTAGAACTAGAGAGGGGAAAGACATTTTCAACATTTTCCGAGCACCAAGCAGTTTACTATGTCCTTCTCACATATTATTTGATTTCATCTTCAGAACACCCCTGAGAAGTGAGAACAGTTATTGTTCTCATTTGACAGACAAAGCGGAATCAGAGAGGTTGAACAGCTTGTGACCTGGTGGTGCCAGAACTCAAACCTGTGTCTACTTGGTTCTGAAGCTCTTTCCATGGAACCACAGGGCATCCTACAAATAATTGGGCTCCTTTTTGGTCAGGATTAAAAGAGATAGCAAACTGCCTAAAGTTTAATTTTCTCAGGTTTTTTCTTCTATTTTCTTTTTTTGAAGGGGGAGCCCCAGAATGAAGTCCATGACAGCTGTTAATGCCCACAATCTGATAAGCCTTACACAGCATTAGCATGATACACAGGTCCAAAGAAAAGGCATTTTCCTCCCTATGCAGCATCTTGACAGTGCAGTTTTATAACCTCATAATGAAACAAAAAACAAACAAACCAAAAAATGTGAGAAGAGAGTTAGAGAAATGGATACTGCCAGGAATGAGGAATGCACTGACCCCCCAATCTGGGCCATCTCAAGAGAAGTTGGCCACTGGCTGAGCCTCTTAAAAGCTGAAAAGTCATTCCAGGCCATGGTTAAAGAGAGAGCTCGAACAAAACAGAAACAAATGTGATCCTCAAAGTCTTAAATGTCAATTTGAAGGATAACTTAGAAGCTCTGAGACTGGCCAAGAGAACGTGCAGCTGCTCTCTCTAGCATCAGATGATCCTTCAGTCCTTGGACTAGCCACTCTCCTAGACAGTGTGTCAATCAGGGGGCAGCCTCCCCACACCATGCTTACCAGAGATGTTCACGGGGGGCGAAAGCTTCCATTCTTTACAACTCATCAGATTCTCTCCTTACCCTGACCTCAGTACCTTGAGGAACAGTGGCTGCCTAACCAACTTCTGACCTCATATATGTTCTTCAAGACTCAACTGGTTCATAATTTTCCTGCCCCATTCCCATCTCCCCACTCCCATCATACACACAGAACCTACTCTGCTGCCCTTCTCCCTCTTGAGAGAGCTCACTCACACACGAGTGGTTTCCAGGCAAGATATCAAAGATGCCTAGTGTCTCCTGCCACCTCTCAAGATAATGGGCCAGGCATGCTTATGGATAATCCTCAATAGCCACCTTTTCTAGAAGGAAGAAGTAAAGGTGACCCGAGCCCTAGAAACTCCACTCACTGGCCTTCAATGATGGAAAACACATAGCTAGATTTGGGGAGAGGTCCTTCCCAAACAACACAGTCTCCTGATGACCGAAGACTGAAATTACAATAGTCCCTTTATTAAGGGTCTACTGCATTCCTAGCTCTGTTTTAGTCCTTTTGCATAAATATCATTTTTTTTCTAATAACCTTGTGAAGTAAATATCCTCTTTTTACAGATGAGGACTCTGAAGCTCATAGGAATAAGTAACGGATCCCTGATGACTAATCCTCTCCCAGGGCAGTGCTCCGAAGCCTGCTCTCTTTCCATTGTGAAAGGCTGCATTTAAAGTCCAGAGCTGAAGGATACTCGAACACAGAGACTCTAGCTGTGGAGATCTAGAGGATCATCTGCTATCAAAGCCAAAGACACCCTCTAATTTGTTTTCTGCCAGGTGTGTTTGCCCTTTGGACCTTCAGGAGAGCCTGGAAATATATCCTAAGTACTCTGATCTCAGAGACAGCTGAAGAGCTGGCCAGAGCTTGAGCTCATGGAAAGAGCAATGAGAAGTCTTCATCATCAGCTTAAGCGTTAGTGACCTGGGAATTTGTCCCAGGTCTCAAGTTTGTGAAACGTCTCTCAGGGCTAGCCCAGAAGAGTCAGGATTCCACTGATCATCTGAAGAAACCCACAGAATGAAAGACTTGAAAGCTCAATTCTCTCCGTGAGGAACCCTGCCTTTCTGGGAGTCCACCTCCAATGGGTGCCCTCTGTCCTGGGTATTCAGCTTTCTCTTTGTAAACAGTGGGAATGAGAGCAAACATTTAAATTTGTTCCTTCCATTGGCTCCACTGAAACCAAAGAAGCAAGCCTCGGTTCCATCGATTATCTTTGTGTCCTCCTGACTACCAGCACTTAGGCTTGCCCTCTTCTTCATCCCTGAATCCAAGGCTCTTCAGTGACGGGGAGAGTTTAACCTGTTCGGTGTCTAAAACTTTGGAGGCAGGAGGTTAGGAAAGAAGACTGGGGAGAGAACATGTTCCCACAGAAAGCAGTAGTCTTTCAACCTCCCCCACACTCACCAAAAGTAAAAACATCCACAGGCCTTCTTACTGGTCCTGCTCTCACATCCTCCCCCTTCCCAAATGCCTGACTGTCTTCTAAGTTCTAAGTTCCAGAAGTTTTTCTCCTCTTTTTGTCCTGATGGGGGCACGAGTATTCCCTCAGCATCGCAGGATCTAGAGGAAAAGCTCTGAAAACTCAGCTAAGAGTTATGTGCCAGAGCGTGCAACTACGAGGCAGCAAGACAATAATAGCACAGTTGTTGTTTTTTTTTTTTTAAAGGAAGAAATGGGGTTCAGATGCAGCTCCCATCACAGATGAGAAACGGGCTGTTTATGCTTCCATGCCTGAGGCAACAACCACTCATGACACAGTCGCAAATGCATAAACATGCGCCTGCACGTGCATCTCACGGGTACCCTGCTATCTCTGTTTACACACGTGTTTATACTGCCATTAAAGTGATTTCCTTCTTCATTTCACTTGAGTTGAAGATGTACTCCTGAAGTTAAGTGAGTCTATTTCTGACATAGTGCTGTCTGCTCAGTCTATTATAGCACTTCCCTAGGGGTCAATTTGTATAATTTAAAAAATCCTTCCTAAATCTCCAATTTCCTGTAGGCCCATTTTGATATCCAGATTTCCTCCTTGTCCCTTCATTCTCTCATTTTTCTAGGACACAGGGAGAGTCCAGTAATCTTCCTCCCACCCAAATATTGTAGGTTGGCTCTGTTGCAAAATACAAAACCAGAGACCAGGCTAGGGCAAAGCTGAAAGGGCTCTCTTTGTGGTCACTGGTTTGTTGAACCCAGCTACTGACATCCAGAGCCATGCATTGGGCATTCCAGGGCTGTTGGGTCCACACTGCCGGCGCACCCTTTCCTCCCACTCTTGAGAGAGTAAGCCATAGCCCCCTCTGCATCCTCGAAACAATCCATTCCCTCCATTAGCCAACTTTCCAGAGAAATCCAAGAAGCTGACACCAAACTTGGAAAAGGGGAAACACAAACCTTCAAGATTTTCAAAGATGGGAAGTTGCTTTCATTCGCATGTCAGCTTCAAGAAAAACCTCCAGGGCCTCTTTCCTAGAGAGGCGTGATTTTCCTTGCCACCTTCCCAGGAACTTTGCAAATCCACCACTGAATTGTGGAAAAGTGGCCAAAGCAGAGAGAGAAGAGTTAAATCAAGCCCAGACCTCAGCAATCTGTGTTCAATTTTGATAAAAATCTCTCTCCCTCTCCCCACCGCCCTCTTTCCTCCACTCCACAGCTCAGACATGTCTCTTTATGTTATGAGCTTGCATCTTGTTTGGGGCACCACGGTGCTCCCAGAGGACCCGGCGCGGCCCACACCGTGGGCACATGTGGCAGACACATTCATCCCACTCCTTGAGCAAGGCTGGACACAGAGCCACAGTGTACTGGGCACCACCTCCACACCCCCCTCCTCCTCCCCCTCCTCCTCCTCCTCCTCTTCTTCCTCCTCCTCCTCCTCCTTACTATTACCTGCATCCTGACCAGACCCTTCCTTCTCAGTTAAGTCAAAGTCCCATGGCCTGGCGATGTCAGGGCCACGACAGGAGGACTGGCAGCAGCCACAGGTACTAAAGTCCTCAGAATCAGGACCCCTTTCCTGAGATGCTCCTTTTCTTGTTCAAAGTCCTATTGCCACTGAGAGCAAGAACCTCCAGCTCCCCCTGCCCTGCCTGCTGGCCAGAAGCCAGGCTTGCAAGTGGGAGTTGGGGGCTGGTGAAGAGTTAAATCACGGGAATGAAGGCACAAACTGAACAGGGGAAAGCCGCCCACCAAAAAGTCGTCAGTTTTGGGGGGGTACCAGCTATGTTTGTCCACTTGTGACAAGGAATCAGATTTCAAAGCCACAAAACAAACAAACAAACAAACAAAAACATTTTTTTAAAGTTTTCCAAAGACATTTCCTGTGTCCAGATGTGCTAATACCGACGGACACACACACACACACACGCAAAGCACACACACACACACACACAGGCGCACACGCAGGCCCTGGGAGCCCACTCAAGGTCCGGTGGCTCCTGCAAACACTTTGGAGAAACAAAACAGGCAGCCTGTGGAGCCGCTGCCTTTCCAATCTCCTTTTCACACTGTGAAAGAAAGTAGGGGGTAGAAAAGTGGAGAAGTGCCCGCAGAAAGCCTCTCCAGCCCGGCCCCTACCCCACGGACAGACGCGAAGCAGAGGAGACAGGGCAGCTGCACTTACTCCGAGGACCCCATGGCGGGCGCCGCTCCCTGCAGTCCGAACCCCGGCTGCGCGCTCGTGGCCGCTCTCCCGCTCCGCTCGCTGGACTCCGCTGTATTGAGAGCAACCACCGCCGCCTCCCCTCCCCGCCGGCCTTGCTCCCCCGCCCGCCCCGTTCTGACGTCAGGCGTCTTGGAGCGGGATATTTATGGCAAGGATACTCTGAATTTTCCCTAGGTAGAGTTCTGATTGCAGTTCCTTGGGATTTGTAATTTTCACACTTTGAGACAGAAAGGAGGGGAAGGAGGAAGGGAGAGCACAGCCGGCAGGGCGAGGCAGACAATGAGGGTAGCTGTTTCCAGCTTTGGCAAGGAGCCTTCTCAGGGCTCCCTGTTTTGGAAACATGTAAGGGTCAAGGAGGCAAAAGTGGCGACCTGGGCAGTAGGTTTCTCCTCGCTCCTCCAGTGGGCAATGAGCACAAACACCAGCTGGGGGGATCAGGTGTGTGCGTTGGGAGACAGGGGTCCCTCTCCATCTCCAAAGTGTCCCTTCGTGGAACAATAAGTCCCAAAAAGGTGCTAGGGCTAGAAAGGAGATAAATCAGGCAGAACAGAACAGCTAATTAGAAGCCCTGGTCCGCACCCTAACAACTTTTCCATTTCTTCTTTGGGAGTGTGTATGTAAAAAAAAAAAAAAAAAAAGTTTATTTTTATAAAATTATGTTCCACACTCTCTGCCTCTGTATAGCTTTTCCAACTCAGTGCCAGTCAATTCATCTTACTTCACTGCTTATGTACAGGGTTTGAACCGTTTACAATAGCTCTTATTCATACTTTTAAAAATTGCTTTAAAACTTTTTTTTTCTTAAATGTGATTGTGATCCATCTCCTGGACTGCACTGGAAATTGCCTTAGAATTAAGTGCAACTGTCTCCTCCATGATTGGCACCATCCTCAGGCTAAGTATTTGATCATCTCTGCTTCCTCCACAATCCCAGGAGTGTGTAAGCAGTTGGCACCCGCATGGCGTGATGACCTATGTCCTGTTTTCTAGGTCTGGATTTCAGGTCTGGATTCTAATTATAGTCTATTTCTCCACCTAGCTGAAAGGCCTTAGGGAAATGGCTTGGTTTAAGAGCCCTTCCAGAGTAGGAAAAGGAGAATATAATGCTTTATCCTTCATGGTTCCCAAGGATTGGAGAACGAACATAAAAATGATATACGTGAGATGTAAATTGCTTGTACAATTAGATAACATAAGTGAGTAGGTATTCAACTCCCCATTAATAGAAGAAGCACAGATAACTGCAAATCATCACTAAACCATCACAGTTCTAGTGAACTTTCCATTAGCCCAGGTTGGGTGGGGGCATGTATAGTATATGCCTTAACCACAGTTATGATGCAGCAGGGACTCAAGGACTTGGTATGTGTTTACCCCTTTGGCGGCAGCTGGTTAGGACTGATTGCCAGAAGAGGTCAAGTCTTGGGGCTGTGCCTCTTGGTGGGGGACAGCCAAGATGTTTTGATCCAAGCCACAGAGGGCCCAGAGCCTGGCTATTTTACAGTGGTCAGGTTGCCCTGCTGATCATCATACCCCACTGCCATGTCTTCCTCACATCAAGGTTCCATTGGCAAGTTGAGTTCTGCTCTGTAGTAGACGTCACAAGTTGGCTTCCAAAAGCCATTGACAAACCCCTTCTTGCCTTCCTCAACTAAAAAATTGGAAGTCTACAATATTCACCAGACTCCCTTGTATCTTAGAGATAGCCATAAAACCCAGCTCTGGCCAGGTGAGGTTGTCATGCAGAAGGCAGGGGATAACTGCTACAAAAACTCTTTAAGAAAAGGTTAGATTCAGATGGCGTGCCCCTTCAACACTTTGAAAGTCCCTATTTATCCTTCCCCCATTTTTTCTCTCTTGGAACATTGTTATGATGCCTGGAGATACAGTAGCCATCTTGCAACCTTGCGAACAAAAGCCACTCACTCAAAGATGATGGAGCAGGAAGATAGAAGGAGCTAGGGCTCTAGATGACATCCACAAGTGGCTGCACATTCTTCTGACTTCTTATTAGGTGATAAAACTAAATTCCTACGTGTTTAAGTTATTATAGTTGATTCTTCTATTGTTTACAGCCAAATATATTCTTGCCTGATACACTCCCATCGATCCACCAAAATACAATATTGAGATAATTCCTGAGCATGAGCTTACAGGTATGACAATGATTTTTTATGTGATACCTTGTACTGGCATAATTCTTTATAGTATTCAAAGCCTATTCACACGTATCTTTCCTGAACCTCATATCTTTGGGAGATATCACTCTAACTTTCACTTTTCGTATATATGAAAAGAAACCATATCTGATAAATGTTCTGCCCCAGATCAGTCAGCAAATAAAGAATCTTGGACCCTAAACTAGTTTCTCAGACTCCAGTTCTGTGTGTTTTCTGCAACATTTTAAATAACAAAACAAAACAAGGCAATTAAGAACCCTTATTCCTACTAAGTTGGTGTGAATTCTATTTAATTCAATGGAGATGAAGCAGATTGCAAGTAAATTCCAGAACTGGAAAATGTCAGTCTGTTTAGGAATTAAGTCCAATCCACCATGTCCCCAAATCCCCTTCGCCTTTCAGCTGCCCTCTGACATCCTACTTTGAATCCCTGCAGTTACTCTTTGTGAGGCACCTCGTCTTTCAGATGAATCCATTGTTGTCACTCTTCATTCTCACATCCTTTCTTAAAGCACTTCCTTTTTTCAGGGTTGCCTTTCTATCACTACCACTTCCCTTGTGCAGTTTCTCTCCTGATTCCTCTTTTCCCACCTAGATGTTGATGCTCCCCAGGAATCTGCTAATGGCAGTCCTTCTCCTGAGTGTCACAGTCTCTCTTCTTGTGATTTCATTCTCTTCTTATGAATTATTCAATTCTCGTGAATTCCACCACAGGCTCAATAACTGTCTGAGAAAGTCAACCATTGTCTCTTGCCCAAATCTATATTCTAAACACCATTTTCCTCTCAACTTTAATCCCACTTTTCCAACTGTTGTCTATATTGCCCAGCAGATGGCAAATATTAAATAAATGGTATCTATTTTTAACTATTTTTGGGGGGGTGGGGGAGGGTGCAGAAAATTTACTAAAGCATGAGAGCTTTAGGACTGACTAATTTCTAGTATCAGGAGCTGTGGTGTGACCATCCACCCTTGAAATCATGCCACAGGCCAATCTAATTGTCCAGTCTTAAGGAAATGAAGTGGAATTAATAGAAAATTAGCAGCAGCAGACCAAATAGAAATGAAGAGGCAGACCTTATGAGAAATAAAAATGAAGAGGCAGATCTAATGAGAAATAGCATATCCTCATTAAGTCCTTTTATAATACCCTCACTAACTCATTCCAGGCAAAGTGAGAGAAAGGAAAGAATTAAAGATGAAGTGAGATAGGGCCAGAGACTTAGAGGTGGCAGGTAGGGAGCACAAGGAGGACAGGAACAAGAGAAGTGAGGTTGTGCAAGAGAATATTCCAGGTCTGGGAGAGAGAAGTCGCCATCCTTGCCCAGGTGAGCTTACTTGGGTTCTGTTGGGAAAAGAAATAAGTGAAGCTCATAAAATGTGTGGCTTTCAGTGCTATGGGGCTGTTTTTGGTGCTGGTGAGCCCTGAAGAATCCATAAAATGGGAGGGCACCTTCCAAGATGATCTGATTTACTCTAGATCCCCAACTCTATTACACACTGAGCCCTAAGGTAGGTTTCTCTAGAGAACCATGGCTAATACAGCATTCCTCACCAAAAACATGAGAAGAAGATCACTCTATCCTAAAAGATTGTTGAAAAGATCAAGTGAGGCAAAATAGATTGAAAGTCCTCACCTCAATGAGTTCTGAGATAAGAGAGGAAGAGGAATTGTGACGTCTCTCTCATTCTATCACTTAGCCTATCAGAATCAACCTACGGACCACTGGGCTCTGCTCAGGGATGTGCCAAACTCTGTATTAAGAGTGTTGTTAATGCCTAGCTGGTGGAAAAAGTATGTTATGAGCTGGACCCAATTCAATGCAGACATGTCACACGGCAGGTGTTTTGATCATGGGCCTGATCCTAATTCTCTCACTTATAATGAGGGATGCGATCTCCATCGTTTAGAACAGGCCTTCTGTACTTCTATTATCTGACAGTAACTTCCAAGGATACAACTAAAAAGAGAAAAAATCCAGAGGTACGATTTCTTCCTGGAAAGGACCTATCAATAAGATATGAACTGCTTGAAGATGTTTTAAGTCCTAATTCTGGTGTGGTGTGGTGTGGTGTGGTGTGGTGTGGTGGAGTGTGGTGTGGTGAAAAGACCTCAGAACATGGCCTCCAAGAAGTCCGGTTTCTGATCCCAGGTCTGGCTATTACAGCTGAGTAAGAGCTTCATTCAGCTTCCTTGAAAAATATGGATTAATAGGAAGATTAACCCCAGGTCTGGCTATTACAGCTGGTGCCAGAGTGAGGATTAAATTGCAGAATGTTGGTACCTTACAGATAGCCATTATTTTTATATGCCCTTTCCCATCTCCGGCCTCTTAATGCACACAGTGCCTCTATTAGTAAATACCAAGGATGCACTTACCATTAGTGTACAATTCACCAGGCTCCTGGCATCCAGCTCTCTGTAAATATCTTTGCCTGGAGTCAAGAAACCTCCCCTGGCTCAGACATGACCACACCAAATAGGCAGCAATTGGAAAATTGCCCCCATAAAGACTGTCTCCTTCAAAGTGCAGGACTGCATTTTTGAGAAGTCTTCTCAGGTTGTTTGCAGAGACTTTGAGGGTCGGCCCTGCTGCCTTGTCTACGTCAAAACCCTAAGTGTTTAACCACAAGACACACAATCCTAGGACATCGTGGCGGCGGCCCTCCACCCCCACAATGAGGCAGGCCATGCATGTGGTCCCCTTAGCAGAGGCCAGTAAGACACGCACCTGGCCAAATGTAGCATGAAATATCACAGTCCACAGAGTGCTTGAATAGGTAGGGAAGGGGGTGGAATTTGTTCCTGAACCCTGCACCAGACAATATGTATCAGAGCCTAAAGCTCCCAGGCTGGGGAAAGATGTGTCCGCTAGTAGCCACAGTTGCTTATGTTATTTCT